TGTTTGTCATTGAGTCAGTGCTGCTGATGTAAAGTAGGCCCTTACCAAACACCAAGTAACTAAATTTGGATACAATTATGAGTTATTCGCAAACTGTTAAACATTAAACTGTTGGTTACTTTAAAACGAACCTTCATCTGGGAAATCACAGGGATATGTGAATATTTGATCTGTTAACTGGTTGCATATGTCAGATTTATTGCATGACTCGGGCAGAGAAAAGCTGTTGCTATCAAACATTGTTCACAAACATCAGTGTTTTGGTGAAGAGATAGATCAAATAGACCAATTGATGGAAGGTTTGTGAAGAAATTTCATGCTCCCTTGTAAAAGTATTTTTTATTATTTTTAAAATACAAAAATACAGTAGTTTATTTTGATACTTGGTGTGGCTGCTGTATTTTGTAGTTTATTTTGATACACTTAAAATCTAAAGGAGTGAAATTATTTCCTTATGAAATTAACTCTTCATGAAGCCAATACTCAGGAACTCGCACAAAACAGACGCCATGCAATAAAACAATAAAACTTATCTGGAGAAGAAATCTTCAAAGACAGCAAACAACACCTCTCTCCTCGCCCATTTACGACCCCCTTCTCCCCCTGCCCGCTCTGCCTCTCCCTCTTTTCCCCCAAAAGGTTTCACTCAAAGTTCATTAAGAATATGCATATCCCACATATCATCTATCTTGTGAACCTGTTGTTTTTCCCTTTCATGTTTGGAGTCATTTTAAAGGTCTTTGTGATTGGTAAATTGGTTTCAATTTCAAAGTAGTCATTTATATTATGAGAAAGATTTTAAACTTTTGTAGAATTGTGTTGTGTTGAGGAGGGGGTGTGTCCCGCTTTAAGGGTCTGTGAGAATGTTTATCTATCTCCAGCCAGGTGTGACCCTGGATCAGTGTTCAAACTATACCGTGGACTTTGGGGGAGCCCACTTGTTTTTTTTTATTCTGGGGTTTGGGGTGGGTTCGTGCGCTTGCGCATGCCTCAAAAGAGGGCTTACAATGACTTACAAAGATACATAACAGCTACAAGTGTATGCACTACTTCCTTTATGCAAGCACTATATAGGATAAATCACTATACAGGATTTACCCTATTATACTTTATCAACACGAATTGATAGGTGAAACAACAAACCACCGTTAAATGAGCACAAAGACATGGAGAGTCACGCAGACCTATAACAACCCAGCCACAACACATAATTGCAAATAACATGCCTTACCTTAACAAAGAATCGACCACAGATTCCAGCGTTTATATTTTTTCTACGAATCTTTGAGTTAATGTACTAAACATGAGTGGAATTTGCACCACAGCACCCCCACACCTTGATGCTCATGACAAGAATAGCATGTATAGTTATCTTTATTGAAGTGAATTAGGTTTAAATCGCCGTCATGCATGAATGAATGATATTCATTCAATGATATTTTTGCAATTTTACACATAATAATCCACGATGATCACATTACACAGAACTGAAATTGCACGTCAAAATAACACATTGTCAATATTTTTTTGAGACCCCCCAAAATTTCTCAAATCACGTTTTCAGGGGAGCCCATGTCTTATTAAGGGGAGCCGAGCTCCCCCGTAGTTTGCACCCTGCCCTGGATCACAGATCCTAACAAACAAAAGGTATTTTATGTTTTTACATCTGATTTAAAGATTTCTTTGTTTTTGTTCTGGTAGTTGTCAGGGAGTATCTGTCACCAGCTCTGGACTCCATATCCCAGAATCCTCCTCGGCTCACACCAGTTCACATTCACAATCACCAATCTCACCAGATCTCACTCACCTGGATTCTGATCACCTGCACCTGCTGCCACCAATCAAGCCACCTTCAAAATCACGCTCCTTTCAGTCACTCACCGTCCGATTGACAGTTCACTATGCTACGCCTTACCTGACTCACTGAACCCGGATGCCGGTCTGTCTCTGTACCATCCTCTTCAGCCTGATCCACAAAGGAACCCGTCATCACGTGAGCCTGATCCCTTCCATTCCTTAGACTGTTGCTCTAACCTGTTGGCTCTCCATATCTCTCTCCCTCTCCCAGCACCTGTTCAATAAAGCTCACAGTTTACTTTACCTCTCCGTCCCTGATCTCCTTCTGTACTGTGACCGTAGTATTTAAGGGAAAGTTGCAAATCAGTCGTTGCGATTCTGTAGCCAGAAAGCCCGTAGTATGAAATGGGTCCACACACTCTCTACTACGTATTTTCCTGAAGTTGGGTATGCATTCTTTGCTCTTAGATTTATCTTTGAGAATTTGATGTCTTGTATTGATTTGATATCTTTGAGTTGATTATGTAATTGGCATGATACAAATAATAAATTGTTATATTTGATTTATTCTGAACTTTTCTTGACATCATTATGACTAGTAAACTGAGGAGGCTTTTGTTACCGCAAATATACGGCCAGGATAGGTCAAACTGAAGGCTCATGAATAGTAGGAGCAGTAGGCACGTCATCGGAGACCTTCTGATTTCTGTCTATCGCTGATGTTAGCAAGTTGTACGGGAAAGGAGTAAGTGAATTACATTTTTTGTCATAAGCAAGCAGTAGGCGGCAGGCAAAACAGGTATTGGTCTACCTACACCCTCTGACTAACATCAGACTGGCGAGTTTGTGATCGTAAGGCCAACGTGAGACTTAAAAGAGACATTAGGTCCCCAGTGAACGGATAATTGAAAGTATTGAGTCTGGAATAATCAAATATCTAAATTAATATTTGTGATCATTAAATTTAGGCAATATTTCTAATTAAAAACTGATCACGTGAAACTGGAGTCAGCTTGAACACAGAGCTAGACTAAAATTTAAACTAAATCCTGATAAATTCAGTAGTGCAAGTAAAAGTCCGAATACGCATTAAACCTTCAACCAGGCTGCTGGATTCTGCTTTTTTGGCTGGCGGGTGAATTCTTACAAAATTAAGGTATTTGGCATTTTATTTTAAAATACATTTTGATGTATGTTTGCCCAACCCTGGTGGTGTGGATATGAGAGCTTGAAATGGGTCTAAAAATTTCCAAGCTTTTTTTTTTTTTTTTTAAATTGAGTTGACTTTCAGTTTTATTTTCTTGCTGGTTCAGAAAAGCGATACAAATGGAATGTTGATCAATTAAAAGAAATGTGCCAGGACTGGGAGAGCACATACAGGAGTGCATGTGAGGTAAAGAATGTGTACAAAAACATACATAGACCACTAAAAAGTAGTGTTAACAGAGGAAGGAGTGTCTACAGAAATAAGCAGAGCTTCATGTTTTCTTTTGGGTAATGATGACTAAATGAGAGAAGACACAATCTCACAGGCATGTGATAAACAGTCATAGCATTCTGTCATACAGCTGGAGAATATTTATTGATGTGGTATACAGGTTGAGAAAATGCCATTACCAAAAATAGTAAAAAGGGAAATAATTCTTAATTTACTGGCCACATTTTAAAAGGAAGTGACATTAAAAATAGTTAATGTTTTGTATTTGTGTGTTGCCTTGTAGGTGTTCCAGCAGCAGGAGTCTGAGCGCATTAATATCTTGCGCTGTGTGTTATGGGATCATTGCAATCTGCTGTCCATGCAGTGTGTCCAGGATGATGACGTAAATGTCCACATTTCTCAATCTTTATATACAGTTATTTTAACAACTGTTTTCCTTTGTTTTGTACTCTGGGGGGGGTACAAAGCTGTCACTGGGGCAGAACCCTAAGGTACAGAAGCTAAAAGGCATCCTTCCTTCTAGCCTGACATAAATGTGTATATAATATGTAAATCCTAATATATATAAACACAAGTTGATGTAATTAATACAAAAATTAAATTAGTTAAAAAATAATAAAAAAGCCTGGTATGATCTGGGTATGCAAAGTGATTCTCTGCCTGCAGGCTATTTCAAGCACACACCAAATAAATGCACAGAGATATGCAAACGTCTCTTCTCAGGGAAAAAAGATACAAAGCTGGGGTCAATGCTTAAAGGTAGAAAAGCTAAAAGGCACACCTTTGTACCTTATTACCCCTAAATTGTACATATTAGTACCTTTTATAAAAGGGTACCAAACCAGTGACAGTTTGGTACCTTTTTTTTATGAGAGTGTTAAGTCACTTTGTTGGTAGTTTTTGTTACCTAACTGCTGGGGGGAAATTCCATCCACCCATCACATTCTGGCACATTCTTCACATAATGAAGGGGAAATTAAGGCAGAAGATTTTGTTTAAACAAAAAAATGATAATCCAAACTGGAGCAACCACTGAAGCAAACAATGGCTTTGATTACAAAGTCAATAAAGGACAAGGAAAGAAAACTGAGGACTTAAACACACAGAGCTAACAAAGGAAACTAGATGGGACACCGGTGAAAAGAATCCATAAGGGAAACCAAATCAGTAACTATGAAAATTGAGTGGTTACATAGAACACTAAAGGTAGAGAACAGGAAAACAATGTGATACAAACTAAAAGTCCATGAAAACCGAACAAGACTTTTTTTTTTTTTTTTCTCACCAACATCTTATTCAACTATTAATACAGATAGACTTCCGGTTATGTGGCGTGCAGAATAGTCGCACGTTCAGCCTGCTCCTGCAGTTTCAATTATAGACTTATTAAACATCTCTATTTTCATTTATAGTGTGTACAATAGCTTTTTAAACTAATTACAACTATTCGGATCGCTCTGTCATGTCCAAGGCTAAAGGAAAGCACGCAGAAAAAGATAAGGAGCTTTCGCCAACGGCTAGCATAACTATGGCCGACATTAGCTCACTTCTGGATGAACACAGAGCGGCCCTTTAGGCTGATTTTAAGTCGTCATTTGAGTCCCTTGCTTCAACGCTGGATAGCATCCATTCCACCGTTACCGATCACGGACAGTGCATTGACTCTCTAGAAACTAACGCCAATTTAGCTGATCAACGGCTTCAACACCTAGAGGACGCCTACTCCGCTTTGCAGAAAGACAACAAGTCGCTCAAACTGAAAGTAGAGGGTTTGGAGGGACGCAGCAGGCGCCAAAATGTCCGGGTCATTGGCTTATCTGAATCGATTGAGGGTCCCCGTCCAACAGTATTTTTTTCCCGATTATTGGTTGACATTTTTGGTACGGAGGTTCTTGCTTCGCCCACTGAGTTGGATCGAGCGCATCGCAGTCTCGCATCTAAGCCGACCCCGGGTGAAAAGCCGCGGCCAGGCATCTTGCGCTTTCATCGGTTCTAGGTCAAGGACTTGGTTATTCGCGAGGCTCGTAAACGTGGATCTCTGCTTTACAAAGGCCATACGATTCGCCTGTTTGACGACTACAGCCCTGACGATTTGAAGCAGCTCGCCGAGTACAGAGGTCGCATGGCCGAGTTATACAAGCGTGGATACGAGCCGGCGCTCCTTGACCCAGCCAGACTTCGCATCACTTTACCTAACGGGGAGAAGACATGGATCCTGTCCGCTTCGGAAGCGATTAAATTTGTCCAGGGCTCAAATACGAACTTGTAAGCAAACGAATTGACACACCTCTTGTTCATTAATGTCTCGTTGACGCTGCTATTGAAGAGTTGGCCTCCTTTGTGTCTTAATTTCCTCATTATTTTGTTGTAGGCCAATATCCTGCTTTTTTTAACGAATTTCAAGTATATTGACTTTGTATTTCTGTATGTGTGTATATGTGTGTGTGTGTATATATATATATATGTATGTGTATGTATATATACATAGGCGTAATTTGCGGATGGGACATGTCCCCACCACTTTTTGCCAGGGTCGATACTGTCCCTACCACTTTTTTGAAAGTAATTGAAAAATATATTGCGGAAGGTAGACTATGTATTAAAGGGAAAACAAGATCAACAAATCATTCTTTATAACCTAATTAGGGTGATAAAAATTTTTTGACTGCTTATGCATGCATAACTCGTAGGCTACAGTGCAATAACGATATATTTGCAGCTGTCGCACTTTTCGTCATTAGGCTATAGCATTTTATTTTAAAAACGGAGAGCTTCCTTGTGCTAAGTATAGGCCTGCCCTCTACTAAGTGATTATAAATTCGCAATTGCGAGACAAAGTCGCAATCCTGAGAAATAAAGTTATAAACTCACAATTCAGACTTTTTTTCTCGCAATTGCGAGTTTATATCACGCAATTCTGACTTTTTTTGTCAGAATTGTGAA